TTGTATTTCTCTATAGCTGGCGGTATTCTGTATTGCGCTGTATAATGTACTATTGCTGGGATTTGTTGTATTTCTCTATAGCTGGCGGTATTCTGTATTGCGCTGTATAATGTACTATTGCTGGGTTTTGTAGTCCTCTATAGCCGGTGCCATTCTTCATCATTGCTATACAATTTTACACTTTTCCTTTCACTATATTGCACACCACACTTTTTTTTTTCTTTTTTACTGCCACCACTCCAAGCTTGCTCCTGTGATGGACTGCAATCTCAATACAAACTAGTAGTCCCATCACTGGAGCCATCTTTTAAAATGTATTTTATCCGATTAACCGATTGATCGAACCTAATAATCGGCTAACTAATCGAATTGAAAATAATCGTTAGCTGCAGCTCTAGATCTGGTATTCCGACAGGTGCCGGCGGGATTCCTCGATCGACACGCTTGATGGAGGAATTGCGTCAATTTCTTTCGTTCAGCCCGCAGGTTGAACGAAAGAAAATTGACAGGTGTATGGCCAGCCTAAAGGTGCCCATACACCTGACGATTATCGTACGATAATCGTGGGTGATCCTGCGATCGTAGAAAATCTTTACTGTACGGTCGCACGACTTTCGTCTTACAAGCACGCTAGGTTGGTAGCACTATCGCAAGACGAAAGCTGCACGGCCCGGTGTGCGCAAGCGCACACTGCCCGCTCAGCATTGCAGTCATTGGCAAGCCCTCCCCTCAGCGGGGAGGGCTTGCGATGATCGCAAGTACGATCTGCCTGTCCAAGATGGGCAGGTCTTATGAAATTTTTATCACCTTACAACGAAAGTCGTGCGATGGTTGTAAGATGTATGGGCTGCTTAAGAAAGAGTTATGCAAATAGCAAAATGCCTTGATTAATGGATGTCAGTTTGGAGGAGTGGATGTTCCTAGACAGACTGCATTTGCATGCAGGCTGCTTCAGGCAATGCCCACATGTGATGCTGAGCCTCCATAATTGAAAGACCTGACGTCCCAAAAAAAAAAATGGAAGAGACAGACTGGGAAGGAAAGACCTAGATAATGCTGGATGTCCTCTAGCCAAAAAATGAGGCAGTCTCATTTTTTTGCTGCAGCTTCTAAGCACAGTATGAGAAGCTCACAATGTGCACTGAAATCACAGTAAACAATTTCAGTCCAGGAGAGGAGCTTGTACAACTGTGCTAAACTGAAGGTAAGGTTGGAGTTTAGCTTTAACTTCAGCTCCTACTATCTCTAAATATACTGAATGTTTGACAGTTAATCTCCACCAACGGTAATCTCTGCTTATACATTTTTTTCACCATATGCTCCATTTGAAATGCCTAAATTTGTGACAATTTTATCCAAAATGCAAAATTGTCATGACCATACTGTGTCTTTTATACATCATACAAGAGTCCATTAACCCATCGCACTCCTGACCGCTTACTCCAAAAAAGACAAAATGGGTGCTGCGGTGATCAACAGATGGCAGCCGTTACATACATAGGTAGAAACAGGGACACCGGCACTCAAGTTGCAATGCAAAAACTTCTATTTATTGGTGAGGTGCAGCATATCACACTAATGCAACAAACGTTTCGGGGTCACGCAGGATCCCCTTCCTCTACAGAGACATGTGACGCAGGATCCCCTTTCTCAACAGAGACATGTGACGCAGGATCCCCTTCCTCCGCCTGAGGAAGGCGATCCTGCGTGACCCTGAAACGTTCGTTGCATTAGTGTAATATGTTGCACCTCGTCATTAAATAGACGCTTTTGCATTGCAATTGGAGTGCCGGTGTCCCTGTTTCTACTTTTATACATCATGACTCCACCCAGTTTCTGTATACGTATATACACTGAGTGGCCAGATTATTATGACCACCTGACGTTTGTAGGCAAATTAGCTATAATTTCACTCTGAAGTTGCTAGAGGGCCAGACCATTATAAATAGGGAAGCAGGTTGTTTACCACGACAGTAGAAGTGATTTGTTTCTGAAGATATGGGTAAACTACGCGATTTAACAGCCTTTGAACGTGGGATGATTGTTGGCGCTCGGAGCCATGGAGCGAGTATCAGCAAAACAGCAGAATTCGTTAAATGTTCAAGAGCAGCTGTTGTTAAAGTGTTTAAAGACTGGACTGTCAGACGAAAATCTGGGTCTGAATGTGCAAATTGTGGCCGTCAGCGACTAGTCAATGTTAGGGCAGAACGGAGAGTGGCAAGACTGGTACAAGACAACAGAAGGGCAACAGTGCAGTGTCAGCTTCCTCGCATCACCTTTCAACATCTCGTGGAGTCACGAGGCGGCCCAAAGAAGTCATCTCGTGGAGTTATCTCGTGGCCCAACGAAGTACTGATGGGGTGGTCATAATAATCTGGCCACTCAGTGTATGTGGCTGGGGATCACAGATAACTGAATTATATTGTTATTTGTTTTATAGATAACTTGATACAGATATCCAGTTCTTGCATTCTGTATTCACAGTAGAATATTCCTTCAATTACATAGAAAGCTAGTGTTATCTCTTTGCAAATTTCATTACTCGCATTGCACTTAAGATGATACCACCTGTTTACATCATGGTGTTCTCGTCTTTTGACAATTTAAATTGTGGTTGGGTTCATTTCATTCAGTGTTTTTTTTTCTAAAGCTTATAATTTGTTGGCTTTCTTTTTCCTTTTAAACATGTTGGACATCAGCTGTGCACTTTGAGGATCATAATCTTTACTCTGAAATGTTGATCTTTTATTGACCATTTAAGAAACAGCTCTTGAGGTGAGGCAAAGGCCATTACCTTCTCTGGCCTTTACTCCTATATGGGTGCCCTGTGGATAACGGTGCCAACCATCTTTGTGTTTGAAACACCAAACCATATTTCTAGGACTAAGCTTGTTTTTGAGTGAACCGCGTCAAGGGGGGAAATAGGGCAGGACACCAGTGAGGTGGTGCAAGGTCCAATAAACTATCCTAGCGGAATCCATTCCAATATGAGCCCATATAAAGCACGTCCTCATTCCAATATGAGCCCATACAAACAGAAGAAAAGCTGTCCACGGGACACATGTACACAATCCTATATGTAGGTCATATGATAAGCACTAGTAGTAGTTAGTCACAATCATCTGGACTTGTTTGGTAATGTTGAAGAGTTTTACTACTCGTTCAAGTAGCTTCCTCTGTTCTGCCAAACCTTAGAGTAACATAAGAGCATGTAGAAAACAAAAAGGTTATTGTGTGATTTTAAGCATGGTAGGGTGCACTGGCAGGCCTTACATTTTGAATGGGCTGCCTTAACGCAACGCATGTTAATGCACTGCAAAGATGTACATGGGCCTTAAAGAAAAACTCTGGGCAAAAGTGTTTTAACCCTTGCAGTGGGGCTACCCCTCACTGCAAGGGTTAAGTGCTCGTTTTTTTGTAGGCACAAAAAAAAAATAATAATACATGAACTGCTGAGTCAGCAGCATTGGAATGTTCCTCAGCATCCTCACATCTCGACACAGTGTATAGAACGTGATGATTTACGAGACCTTAGGCCGCTGCAGCGGAGGGGGGGGGGGGTACCCACTTCAAGGGTTAAGAAAAATCCTGGCCGAAGTTCTACTTTAAGGCATATTTATTTCTATGAAGCAGTTACTGGGAGATTTACCAAACATTCACTGCAGGTGGATTTTCCTAGTGCACAGGGCTATTCACAAAAGGGTGAAGAGTTTGGAGAAGACAAGAGAAGTGAACAATCTAGGCCAAAATAGCTGATTTGGAAAAATTCTCCAATTCAGTTCACTTTCAAGTTCAGCTATGTTGTCCTAGAGTGATCACTGTTATTTATTTCTGAACGCACGGTATTGTGTCGCAGTGCACGCCAATACTAGTGCTGTGCTTTCGTGCCATTCAGGATGAACGCATGTATTGTGCATTACCACATGTTGCAGTAACTGCAACGTAAAGGTGCGAACTAGAAAGCTGCAGAAAAATTCAGTTCGTATATTTCGTGATTCGGATCCGAAATTCAATTCGGTTCAGGTCTTGAATTCGGACGAAATCTGAATTTTCGTTAGTTTCAGATGAGTTTACAATTATTCGTTGTGAACACCACAGAAAACCATATACAGATATTCATACTAAAGCTGAATCTCCTAGACCCGAATGGCATTCGGGATCCGGATTTCCGAATTTAATTCAGGAGTTCCTGAATGCCGTTCTGGTCTGGGAGCCTGGCATCTGATTGGCCAGAAAAGTCACATGTCCGATTCAGTTTAGTTTTTTAATGATATTTGGACAGGATCCGAAATTCGGAAACAGAAATTTGGATTCATTGGGATTCAAAAATTCAGATGTGTCCGAATTTTGGAAAATGTGTCCGACTTTTGATTTGGAAGGAAAAGAATCGCCCATGTCTAGTGCCAACCCAGCCTTAAACGTAGGCAGACTCTATGCCTAATAAAGAGTACTTTTTTGTAGTTTTGTTGCGCAATACTACTCTTTTTTTTCTCTCAACAACCCATATTTGTACGCACAATTGCCCCCATGCTTTGTCCCCGTGAGTAAAGCAATCCTTCTTTGAAAAGATCTTCCATACATTTTTAATTCTCTGCTCTATGAATTGATGTCACCACTTTCAGACAAACCTGCCCCTGAGACATGTCAGTCCACATCTGGTAGATTGAAGTATCCAGTAATGACTGGCTCTGTTAATTGCTTTCTATGTGACTTTCTCTATTAACAGCCTGTCCTATTCTCCCTCTTGTTGTGAAGGTCTTCCCTGTAGATCTGTGCGATTTTTGAGTGACAGCCTTCTCAGTTTCTATGGATATTCAAAATTCTTCTGATGTCTTGTGTTCCTGTGATTTTTTTGATGTATATTACAAGACAATGTCTTCTTGTTCAACATGTCAGCAGAAGCTTCCAGTAAATATGCAGTTTTAGTTTCGAGTCATTTAACTAAGTGAAGAAAGTTCGATTGTTGATGATGGAACACTAATGGATTTGGTTGTTTACAGCTAACAGTATCCAGAGAATGAGGAGGACGCCTCCACTAGATGAACTGCAGCCTCCGCCTTACCAAGATGACAGTGGATCTCCTCGCCTCTCCTGTACACCCTCTGAACTTGGGGACAGTAAATGTGAACTGTCACATGGTAGCAATAGTCCCAGATACTCGTATAACAAATGTCCCAGTGAGGGCAGCATGGGACATGAAATAGAAAGCTTCCAGAACAAGGTTTACGAGGAAGATGCCCCAAGTGATAGCACGGCAGTTCTAAGCCCAGAGGTAAGTGACAGTAAAGAAAGCACTATAAAACATTGTATAGTTGTATGAAATGGCCACATAACTTTAAATCTCATCTATAGGTATGACCCCAATTTACCACCAAACCCCCCCCTCCCCCTCTAGATTTTATTTTCTTTTTCCTTGTTGTTGTATTGAAAAATAGCTTTGATTACTCCCTGTGACCTCATCTCCAGGCTTGTAAAAATTCCTGTAGGGACATCTGCTGGAAGGAGGTATCAGCAGGGAGCTCCATGTCCATTCTTATTTACATAGGCATTCCCCCCAGAACCGCATCTCCCAAGAGGCCTTTTACCTACACACTTTTCATGGACAGTCTTTTTTTTGGGAGTCAAGGCCTTTAGAATTGTTTTGCACTAAAATCCCAAGTAGTGTTGTTAGCTCTGCCTGAGCTCTTCCCTGTTGAAATACAGAACTGCGTGCTGATGTCAGATCATCAACCCACTAAAGGAGTTGGGAGCTCACCAGGATTACCGGGTGTTTTTCTGTACTTATATTATATGAAATTACCAAGAATGGCTCGTTGAGTGTAAAAATAATTCCTATAAAACTGGATCACAATTTCTCTTGATCTCGGGTATGGGTTGTCCCCCTCAGCATGAACAGCCGGTGATCCTATTGCATAGCTCACTGCCAGCCACAATATGGCACCTCCTGTAAATTAATGTCAGCATGCCAGGTGCCAAAAATTGGTCTCTTCTCCTGGGCCCTGATTCTGACATTACGGAGATCAGAGGTCACATGAAGGCAAAGCTGACTGTTGTGGGACCTCAGTCTCTGTTGTGGGACCTCAGTCTACTTTGCTTACACGAGTCTGTCTTCATCTTTTACACATTTAATTAGGGATGTTCAAATACCAAGTACCGTACTCGGTACAAGTACAGCTACTTTTCCAGCTCCAACACTAGACTAGAGAAAAATTCCAAAGTTAAGAGGCAGCTGTCATTTTTAAGGAGCTCCTGGGATTTGTGCATTCCTGTTTTATTGTATATATATTAGGGATGCACCGATACCATTTTTTCAAGTGCAAGTACTGATACTTGTCCAAGTACTCACAGATACAAGTACTGATACATTCTTGTTTATTGTCATGTGACAGTTTTTCTAAAACAATACAGACTAATGATTTCAGGACAGTGGTGGAGCGCCAGGGCCCGTGCCCAGCTGCAACCCTGGTAGTTCTCATAAAAATGCCATGTATCGGCACTGGTATCTGAACATCCCTACATTTAATTGTTGATGACATTTTTATGTGTTTTCAACATTACAATAGACAGGACAGCAACATTTTGAGTGAAAATGGAATGCAGGTATTTTTCATTTACTGACATGTGCCATATGTTGTATATTATATACACTGACAGCTTCTAGTGTCATATTATAATTTCGTGAAGCTGAAAACTCCGGGCTAATAGCTAATTACACAGATGAACTCTATAGGATCTGTTTAACCCTTCAAAGAATTTGTATTTCTGTCCACCTAACCATGTGATTTACACTGCTGCGCCACACAGCACAGCCCTCTCTGGCAGTATAGGAGACCTGACTTCTCTGATGCAGCTGAGTAGCACAGGTCTTGTCCCTCCCCCAGCCTGTGCGACAGGACGGTGAAAATAGAAGCAGCCAGCTGATGAGCTTATCTCTCAGACACTCAGGTCTCTCCTCCTACCAGTATGTTCCTTTATAGCCCACGCGCACTGGAGCACACTGATTGGCTTTGTGTGCTGCTCCTTCCTCTCCCACTCTGAGCTCTGCTGTACTGGAGATTGCAAAAGGCTAATACTAAGTCGAATTTGTTGCTTACACTGCATGCATTTAATAATACATTTCATTTTATATTATTGAATACAGAGCTGCATTAATGTGTGCCGCAGGTTTAATCAAGTTACCAGTTTGATAAATAAATCAAGCATGATGAGCAACTAAGACATGACCGTTGTAGAACAGAAATCAGGAAGCATAACTCTGTTAGCAGCTTTATGAACTCAAAGAATCTTTTAAGTCCACAACATAACTATGTATGTCTATGAAGCTTTTCATTCAGCATTGCAAAATTTGTTATGCTTCCTATTATTCAGAACATTTTTTTGTCCTCTGGTATTCTACACAGGAACACATTCACACACATAAGCCTTTAACACCACCAGTCTAGCAGATACAGCAGTCTTAGCTTAACAGTATTATGGAGAAAAGGTTTAGGACAGATCACAGAGCAGATTAATAATAAAAATGTCAAATGTGAGAGAAATAATTAACGCGGTCTTATTTGGAGGGGCTAAATCACTAGGAAGGTTTAAATATCTTCTAATCAGGGATTGATGTGTGTTTTCTTACTGGTTCCCTTCTGTAAATGTCAAACAGCTTTTCTAGGCATCACATGGTTTTGAAATGCAAGCTCCTCTTTTTTTTAAAGCTGTAAATATTGTATTAATTCTAAATATGAATCATGCCGTGTGGTCCAATGAACCTCTGTGTAAATGTTCAATTTGCCCTACTAGCTCTATGTGCAAAATAGACCTAAATATTTATTGTAAACCTTACTTTTTTTTTTAATTTAACTTATATATATAGTCTCCCAAGAATGTATATAACACTCACAATTCACGTTATTTATTTTTGAGAGATCAGTGATAAAAAATTAATGAAAAGTCCAGTGTTGGCAATGCTTCCAGTATATAGCAGGGGTACAGAAAACTCCACACCAGTCAGATTTTTATAGTTTTTGGTGTACCTGAAGGGGAAATTCACACTCTATTTGCCCTGGTGACCATTCTTTCTGATACAGGAAGTGATTGAAACTTTAACTTTTATGAGGAGTCACCAGAACAGGAGGTAAGGGAACATCCTCCAATGGGAAAAGCTGTTGATATGACAACTGTTTGAGAGAGGATATCTCTCGCTTTGGAGAGGTCTCCTCTTATTTCCTTGGACTCTGGCAAACAAAAATACAAGTTTTGGCTTTGCTTATACTTTACAGGCATTAAAGGAAAAATATACTCAGGGAAATATAGGGTCTGCCATTGTTGCCTTATCCTTCTTAATAGCATGGCTATATCATGGTGACCCTCTTGTTTACATATACTGATTTGAGTAGGTGACTGTAAAAAAAATACGCATAAAGGACTTATGACATTTCTTTGGCAGCATCCATGTTCCGTGTCAGGGACTCAGGAAGTACTAAAGTACAGTAGTAGATTAGAAGAACAGCCGGCCAATAGAACTTTTCTAAAGGATGTCAGCAGTGGTAGCTCCCATATTTCTCTCATGACAAGTTCTCTGCTCCTGACCATTGATAATTATGTTATGTGACTAGGAATAGAGCTGCACCAGGTCATTTTTAATATGGGATATAGCCAGGGGCGTAACTAGAAATCACAGGGCCCCATAGCAAAATTTTGGATGGGGCCCTGTGATTTCTAGTTACACCCACCTGACAGTTGCAGTCGTCAGAATATTTTAAAAAAGGCACAAGAATGCATAGCTAGATTCCTATTGGCTATTGCACTTTGCAATAGCCAATAGCAAACTAACTATTGCACCCGCCCTCTGCTGCTTTCAATCACCAGAAGAGGACCTGATAGAAAAATTCAGGTCCCCCTCTGCTGATTGACAGCAGCAATGGGCGGGTACATTACCTAGTTTGCTATTGGCTATTGCAAAGTGCAAAGATTCGTATGCCTTTTTGTTTCTTTTCTGACTGACGGTCGGGCCGCGGCTCTCGATGTCAGAAAAGAAAAAAACGATCGCAGGTAAAGGTTTATCTGCTCGATCGAGCAGATAAACCTTTCTGGGAGGAAGTGTTTCTCTCCCAGGCGGCCGGGAGCCGCTATCCAATAGCGGGAGACTCTGGATATAGCATATATCCCCTTCCCCTATAGAATCCCCCTCTGAGCTTCCTCTGTGTCTGGGCACTCCCTGAGGAAGAAAATTAATGGACTGATTCCAGTTTTGTGGACCCATGTCCTGACATCTCTTCCACTATTTCTGTCCCTGTTGACATGGTGTGCCATTGTTTACAGTTGGAGTCACCTGTGTTAGCTTTGCCCTAGTTTTTTCAAAATGCCCAAACTTGACAAAATCTTCCCTGTATGCTTCTACAGCTGGTGCTGAATGGTGACTGGGATAATCCTGAAAAACCATTTACTCCAAAATGGTTTACTCCAAAATGGTTTGCTCAGCAGTGCCCTATTGAAGAGGGTTTGTTAAAAAAAATGGGCTGTCCATGTTATAGACCAGTTGTTCATTGTCCAAAGCCAAAGAGAGGGACTGGCCTATTCTCAATCTCAAGATCCTCAATGGGTTGCTATATGTTCATAAAAATCCATATGGAATCTACCTGCTCTGTCATCACCTCCCTTCATTTAGAAGACCTTCTTGCATCAGGGGACATCCTGCATGTATATTTGCACGTCCCTATTTTTCCTTTCCATCAATGCTAACTGTGTTTTGCTGTGGGCACGCATCACTTCCAGTTTGTTAATTTCCAACTAAATCTGTCCACTGGGTCTTCACCAAGGTGCTCACCCCTGTTTGGGCTCTGCTTTGGTCTCAGGGATCGCCATAGTTGGGTATATGGACAATCTTCTCAGAGAGCAGTTGGTGCAAGCCTTATCATCCAATACTTATCAGAAAGCACAATCCCTGATGAACTACATATGGGCCCTGAATCTCCAGATGTCAGCACTGGAACCCTCCCATCACTTCGAGTACCTGGGATTTGTGTTGGTCACGGCCCTATCCTGATATTCCCTCCATAAGAAAAGATCCTTTCTCTCTGCTCTCCTGCTCAGACCTTGCGGTCCAAGAGTCGCCTAACCATTCATTTCTGCATAAAAGCGCTGGGTGATGGTGTCCTGTAAGGCAGTATCCTATACGCAATTTCATTTCAGGCCATTGCAGTTCAGCATTCTGGCTAATTGGGAAAAACAGGTTCAATGCATGGACCTTTCCATTCGCTTGTCCTGCAAGACCCAGCTTCCTGTGGTGTGGTGGATCTCTAACCCACTAGAATCAAAGAATTTCTTCCTCCCAATGGTCTGGAAAGTGCTGACAATGGATGTCAGCCTACAAGGCTTGGAAGGAGTCCTGGGGAACCTCTCAGTTCAGCTCAGTGGAGATTTTATGGTAATTACAAAAACCCTATTTCATCTCATTTATAAATTGTTTACAGGATTCCCCAGTTACCTCACCGTTACAGCTCTTTTCAAGGTGAAAAACCTGCAGTCTTAACACACACCATGATTTCTCCCTACAGTTTTACTAACTGTAAAAACAACTCTCCGTGCCTCCTTTCACACCCTGACATTTACTTAATAATTTTTCATTGATTCAGACTTAGTGCCAATCACTCTGCCAGCTGCAAATTCCCCAAGTGACGGAGAATGCCCCAAGGCTCTAACAATAATTTGGGGCCTACTTAATAGTCAAGTTTGACATGTTCTTAGCTAAAGGGGAAATAAAACTATAATATATTCTATGAATTTCTTCAAGGTTTATTTTCAGGTTTAGCTACATAGTCTGTGTTACCATGTTGTTAGGTTTGTGTAAAGTTTTGCTATTTCTACTGTTAGTTTTTTTTTTTGAGGTGTGTCTTTTACAATGAAAAATGTCCATGCCTAGGAATTTGTTTTAGTTTTTTTTTTTTTTTAAAAGATCTAAAATTAAGAGGAATAAATAAATTCATGCATATTATTTTCCCTAGGATTTGTCAGCCAGAGGATCATCTTCACAGCTTCCTAAGTCTTTTGATCGAGAGCCAGTAGCTAAATATGGCACATTGGATGTAACTTTTGACTATGATTCACAAGAGCAGAAACTTCTTGTCACAGTGACAGCTGTCACCGACCTGCCCACATACAACAGGACTGGGAATAGTAACTCCTGGCAGGTCCATCTTGTTCTGCTACCCATGAAAAAGCAGAGAGCCAAAACAGGGATTCAGAGGGGGCCTTGCCCAGTCTTCACGGAGACCTTCAAGTTCAATCACATAGAATCGGAAATGATTGCAAACTATGCCGTCCGGTTTAGACTGTACCTTGTACGTCGTATGAAAAAGGAGAGGATTGTCGGGGAAAAGGTTTTCTATTTAACAAAGCTGAACCTTCAAGGAAAGCTTTCTGTTCCAGTGGTGCTTGAACCCGCATACAGTCTATCGGTAAGTGCTTACAGTTGACCAAATATAAGCAGACCTCCCTATCATGACTGCTCTTTAACACCATAGTATGCGCGCATTAACGTACACGCTTTTGTGCTAGGGGGGGTGTAGCTACTTCACACACAATGCATTTGCATCTGCATTAGGCTATAGCTCACTAGGGAAATGCCTTGAGGTGCTATTAAAAATGAATGGCACTGCAACGCAAGTATAAACATACATTTACCGCACGTTGTAACACGTTACTAGTTCAGTTATGGTGTGACTAAGTTCTTATAACTGGTCGTTCTGTGGTGGAGATGCTGTTATGAAGAACTGTTTTCTGATTAGAGCCCAACTCTGGTCAGAACATTTTTCTTAGTTTTGAATACACTTGGAGAAGTAAGAACTTCCATCTGCAATAAAAACCAATTTAGAAGGTCTTCCCTCATTTCTTTAAACCACGACATGAAATAAGGGAAATGAAGGTCAACGGACAAGAAGGCTGAGATAAAAACCTCACAAAGATCCAAAATAATTTCCTGTCAATAGAAGAGGAAGTAAAGGGGAAAGCTCTTCAGCAGCGACAGAGACAATGATAACCAACTCACAGAGGTTGTTTTTTGGCTGGAGTTGGGCTGCAGATTTTCACTGCCATAGCCATTTGTTTTTCTTTTTTACACACACATTTTGTACATGAAAATGCATTTGACACCCCAAAATCTTATGTATTTTCTGAAAGTTGAGACCCTGTAGAATAAAATAGTGGTAGTTGAAGTTTTTTTTAATAATCTTCTGATAGTACACCTCCCCCAAGAAAAATTGTACTCTCCTATTCATCCTCGTTTAATGCCTCCTACCAGCCAGCATTTCTTTGTTTTATGTGGGTTGGGGGCTACAACCTTTTTCAGATTGCCATTGCTGATTGCTTCCCTATGAGGATTTCTCATACCAGATCTCTCTGAAGGGAATACATACAAGAATAACCACACTTTTTTCATTGTGAGAAAGGATGAGAACTATTTATTTATTTATTTTGATCTGTGTTCTTGTTGGGTAGAACACTAAGCATAGAGATCCAGACAGCAATACAACTGGAAAAAGTTTCCAATATTCTCTACTGTATCCAAACTACACAAAGAATGGACACGATTTACAGTTGAGGATCCGTTCACACTATCCAGCGTTTTAAGGGCATGGCACCATGCCATGAACGCACTGGATCACATAAACAAACCCTCCCCGCTTTTTGGGGCGGAGGGGGCCGTGGTGGTGCCATTAATTCCATCACCTGATCACCCGCACCGGAACGTGTGGTACCGTAATGCCCTGTGTTCCAGTACGGTGCATGCAATGTTTTTTGTGACCGCAACACACTGGAGCGCAAGGCATTGCGATACCACACGTTCAATTGCAGGTGATCGCACAGCGGGCGGAAGATGTGCCTGTGGTGCCATTGGAATGAATGGCACCACCACGCTCCCTCCCACCCCAGGAGATGGAGAGGGTTTGTGTATGTGATCCAGTGCGTTCATGCCATGGAACCATGTCCTGAACACACTGGATAGTCCGATCGAGCCTTCAAAGAGACACTGTCATCTGCCTGTTCAGGATACTGTGACAGTGCCATTTGTTAGTACACCTCCCCAGAACAAATAAACTCACCTATTCATCCTCCTTCGATTCTTCCTAGATGCAGTAGTCAACTGAATAAGCTCCATTGTTGGATGTTGTTGAAAGGTTACCCAGGTGAATGATGTCACTGCTCCCCCTTCCCCTATGTGATCGTGTTCAGGCCTAAGCACTCTTGCATTGGAGAGGTTACATGCTCCCCCATACCCAGAAATCCAACTCTATTACAATAAAAGAGCAAAAGGACTTGATTTTAAAATGTAGCAAAGAAAAATCTATGAATAATCTTAATCTATGAAAATATGTGCAAGAGTGCTAAATAATCTACTGCGGCTGCAACAGATATTCTACCTCCTCACAGTGTCCTCTTGATCAAAGGTGAGTCATTTTTTTGAGGGGTCTCTGCACATGGGAAAGATCACTGCTGATGACTGGTTGGCTCTTGTTGAGCGTTAATGCACCGAGGTCTTTCATCAGAGACCACAAGATCAAAGCCTTGGCCTCGGCCATTTAACCAGCTACCAGAGGGAAACCTGATTCCTGTTTTTAGAACTGCATTTTTTCAGCATTTTACGATTCTCAGCAGCATGATCTAAGATTTTGTTTAATCAAGCTGTTTTATTTTGAAATAGGACTTGCTTTTCCGATACAGGTCTAGTTGATGAAAGCTTCAGGCAAAACACCAGATTCAGAGAAAAATGTGAGACTCCCATATAGCTACCGCTCTGCTTCTGTGTTGCTCTGGTGGCTAAAAATCCTCATATCTCTGGAATCTCTGCTGAATCTTCACAGCCTATGTACCTGGCATTAACGTGGTTGTTACCTTAAGGCTGGGTTCACACCTAGGCGTATCGAATATGCGCGTTTGTCGCGCGTTGTACCGTGATTCGCTGTAAAAAATTCTGCGCGACAAACGCGCGTTTACGAGGGCTACCTGGCTGTATCCCAATGGATACGCGCGGCAAATACGCCCTAGAGAAGCTCCTGTACTTCTTTGGGCGTAGGGCGTTTTGAAGCGCGTTCCTACACGCTGTAAAACGCCCAGGTGGGAACCATGCCCATAGGCAATCATTGGTTTTCACATGTTGAGCGTTTTACAGAGCGTAGGAACGCGCTGTAAAACGCCCAGGTGTGAACCAGGCCTAAATCACTGCTGAGAATAATGGTCACCAGAGGAAAAGAGAGAGTGAATCCCCCTACTGGGAACACATCCACAACTGTTCTGTGAATAGTTAATAAGCTTAAACAAAGGCATTCTGCTAAGAAATACATTGCAAGCGCACGTATTATATACAGACATGGACAAATTTGTTGGTGCCCTTCCAGGAAAAAAGAACGCACAACTTGAAACTGACAAAATAATTGGCATGTATAATTGTTTATTCCATATCTAGAAAAATGATACTTTGCTTTTCCTTCTTGATTCAACAGAATATTTAGAAAAATAAAGCAAATTAAAATGGCATGGGCAAAAATGATGGGACCTTTCACCCAATATTTTGCTGCAGAACCTGTAGAGGCAATCACTGCATACAAGCAATTTCTGTAACCCTCACTGAGACTTCTGCCCCTGCCAACTGGTAGTTTTGCCCACTCTTGAGCAAACTGTTCAAGCTTTCTCAGATTTGAAAGGTGACGTCTCCAGATTCAGATCAGGGATCAAAGAGGGTCAATTCAGAATAATTCAATATTTTGTTCTTGTTTGGGTCATTACCTTGTTGGATGACCCACAAACTGTGACTAAGACAGTGCATACTGACACTGGGCACTACATTTTGCTCCAAAATTCCTTGATAGTCATTGTGCCCTGCTCCTGCTCAGTGCCAAACACAGCAAAAGCAGCCTCCTTGGCATTAGTGACTTGTAAAGGCACTGGCTGGCACACACTGTAAACACAATGGCTGCGATTGGCAATCTCTCCTTTCATGGCTCTTTGTGTTTGTAATTGAAAGGGAAAGCTGGGCTGCCAATCACAGCCATTGTTCACATTTGTGAAAGATGTGGTTGGTCAAAGCGATCACAAGGTATAGAGCTACTAATATTGGCTCTGTAATTTCTGCTTAGATCAGTCTTGTGCCATTCACAGTGCTAATCACAAGCCTTGATTACATTTGTGATCGCTGCGATCATAGTACAGAACCATTTTCATTGTCTCTGTATCTGTTTTCTGTGATCTGCTTTGTCCACTGTGACCATAGTTGCTGAGCCCACACACGAGCACAGTTAAAAAGGACATTGAAAATCGACAAGAGAAGTGCGTGTCCGTCCATTTAATTATTGTAAATGTTGCTTGAGAGTTGATAGTAACTCTCAAGCAACCGGAAACGACGGTTATTCGGCATCTACCAATTCCCATGGGTACTGGATAACTGGGAGTTTACTGTATAACCTTTTTTAGGGGTACCAATAAATCTATCCAGGCCATTTTAAAATACTGTAGATAAGTAGAATAAGCAATAATTTGTCTCTTTTCACTATTTCTTTGCTTTACTCTATGATATACCAAATACATGCAGGCATACATAAGACTATTGCTTTTAATTTCTTCACTTTATTAGGAGGAATGAAACATTGTTTCAGCGAGCTATAAGGATAACAGAAAATAGGTCCATGTCTATAGGCTTTAATGGTTTGTATTCTGGCCAGGCTAAAGTAGAACCATCACATCTGGCCTCAGAACTGGGAGTAGTTCCATCCCGTGGACAACAAGTATCAAAAAATATGAAACTATATGACAGTCTCTCCCTGTACCCAGGCAACACCTTTGCAGAAGGTGGATAACCCTTTAAGGGCCCATTTTTGTGGTGCGTTCATACACCTTTTGTTGTTTGTGTATTAGCGTGCTTTGCATTAAGACAGTCTATTGAGAACAATTGGCTGCTGCCACACCAAAACGTTCCAAAAGTTGGACGTCATAAAATTTGTAATGTAACACACCATGGGGTTTTGTCTTAGTTCATTGGGCATAGCACCATAATGCATGTAACGCTATGATTAAGTGCCTGTTTATGTAAAACGCATAAGCGATCTAATTGCATCCCCATTGTAAGATTCAATAAAGAAGTCTTTTTGGATTATGCCGGTGTGCCGACATCCACCAAGAGCGACACAGTATTGTGATTAGAACGTATGTAACGTACGTTGCTGCGCTCATTACCACAGCAGAGTAGTCTAAATTGGCCCTGAAAGTTCTAAAAAGCCTCATTATTTTTACCATACGCAAGTGGCAGGAATTCCCACAGCATCAGCATTCAGTAACAGCCACTACACATGGATTATCTACCAGCAATAAATAAAAAACAAATCTCATTATTGTCCTTCAACAAATACATTCTGTAGTTTCAGAAGTCACAAAACCTATCCCCCCGTCAATAAATGAAATCACATTT